TTTTATCAACATTGTCCAAATAATATGGATACTTGCATTACGGAGAGCGTCAAAATAGCTGACCAGCTAATAACGTTATTGTCCGGCTTCTCTTCTTCCGTGGCGTATCTACTACTTCATCGGCATGGCTGAATAGCTGAGTCTCTCCGCAGTTTTAAGATATGTTTATGTATGTATATACTACTGTTAGTAATATTTCACTGAACTGATTTCAGACCGATTCCTAATCATCAAATGTTGTACCGCAATAAACGTCTTGGAGGTTTGTGTTTCCATCGAAGATTCACAGAAATATTGTTATACGTATCGTATTATGTTTAAAACCTATCAGTGAATTGAGCGAGTATGAAAACTTTTGTTTGTTGATCATATTGGAGCATACTGATACGTATGAAACTGTTGCGGCTAAATGTAATTCATCATAGATTTCAAAATGTGAATTGGTCTATACATTCATTTAAATATAGCAGTTAAAAAATAACTGGGTATTATCGACCTACGCAGTATTACATCTTTGATAGCAAAAATGGACTGTTTACTTCCGGGATGGGGATGAGGTAGTTCATCCTTGTTTTTTCGCTCGTTCACTGTAAAAAATCTATTTGAAATTCCCACGATAAAAGAAAACTCATTTAAAGCATACTATGTACTTTCCACCAGAAAAAAATAGACCAGTAGTTTTATTATATTTGTGATAAGCCTAACCTCCATGGCAGAAGTAAAGTAAGTCTCGCCAAAAGTCACAGCTTTGGTTAATATAATATTTAAAACTTATCTTGTGGTTTCCATAGTGATAATCCTTCATGCTTGCTGGCCATGAAATGAAACAACACCAAAGTGGCAGAAATGTTAGTTAAACTTCAACCCTACATATGTAGTTTCACTCAAAACACAGAAAACATAGAGGGATGTCAATTTTTGCCTCGCCTTTCGCAGCTGCTCTGAGGCTAAAGACGTTGGAAGCACTGAAAACTCTAACAACATTTTTATATGAATACTTGAAGCGACACTACCCACCGTGATGGAATGCTGCAAGCATAACCGTTGAGAGACATGTAGCGAGCGACCGAGCGCTCTGAAAGAGGCTATAAAAGCTTCCCCCTGTCTAAAAAATGATCCATCTTCCTACTACCCAGTACCTTCAGTCACCCATCTTATCTGAAGCTTGAACATACTCGTGCACTTCATATGTAGTTCTTTATGAATATTTTTGCGCAAAAGGGCGACAGCTCTCATAGTACTCGTATTTGCCTAAGCCGCTGGACTCTCAGCTCTAAAACGTGACCTAAAAAGATTTTTAAAACGCAAACCAAAAGCGACAAAAAATCGAGTCGTCCCGCTGTGAGCGGTGATGTATCTGGCACGATATCACTGACAGCGACCTATTTGTCGCCGGTCCTTTTGTCCTGTAGATCACGAGCGTCCGTCCTTTTCAGGGCTGCCTGCCGCTACGCAGTGGATTCGTTCCGCTTAGTGCACTTTTTATATTTAGGTAGTGATTTTTAGGTGCAGTGTCATCATGCTCTACAAGCAATTCAAGGATAAACGGTCTGTAATTAAAGCCTTGAGTATATATTCGGTGAGAAGCATGCATAGTGTTTCTCTCATCGGATCGCTAAGCGCGCTCTAAAGGTCTACACTCGATCATCCCGAATACCTTGACGTCACGTTACTCCATTTTGCACATGCTTATAACTCCATTCACGCTGACTACAAACAGAGCAGGGCGTCCGATTTTGAATGGACTGAATATTCGTTTGAGCACTGTACATTTTTCCAAACAATTCAAGTCTCAACCTTCAAGAATACTGGTGAGGAGTCACCACCTTGCGGACAGCGTTCGAAATACTAGGAATAGGAAGTGTGTAAATCAAAAAATTTGCATGCGTTTCTTATGGAACATTCAATAAAAGGTGAAAATTTCAGTAAACACGTTGTCCTTGAATAATATAATAATAAGCAAATTTTCCACGACGATGACTTTGGAAAAAAGTTCAACGGGGCAGCCCGAAAAGGTTCTGTGTTTTGTGGTACAAAGTGCATCATTATCAATATCAAGCGCCGTGTGGTATGTAGGTTAATCCATTTTACTTACAAATCGGAATTGGAAAACTGAAATTGACATCTTATAGCAATAATGAGGTTATATATTTCATGCTGGTTTATGGTATCTTCAAGATGCTATTATTAATTCACGGTTCTATTCATATAGTTTTCCTAGATGTTTCTGTCCCGAGACACATATGTTTGTTTATATCATGCAACGGTCGCCAAAGTGACACTGTAAAAGACCTAGACTGCCCCTTGTGTTGCAGACGAAAGAAGTTATAAAGTTGTGTGTTTGAGGAACGATGATGACTTTAAACAATGTTTACGAACAACATGTGACAGGAAAGTACTTTAAAATTTTAATGAAATGAATTCTACTCGGTTTATACATATAATAAATACTATATGGGTCATAAAAAGAAACAAAGTTTTGCGTCACGTGATATATTATTTCTGTGATTTATATGGTCAAAGATTTCAAAGAAATTGTGGGCGTATAAGTATATGCTTATGACTTTTTTTTGCGTCTTTTGTGAGAAGTTTCCATAATGTTTTGACCAAAGAAATTGTGATTACAATTTCATAGGGCTTCTCATGTAAATGTTTTGTATTGAATACAGGCAAAAATAAAATGAATAGCATTTTAGAGTCGGGCAGTCATGTGACCTGCTTGAGGAAATATATTTTATACAACTACGGATGTTCAGCTTGTTTTCAGAAATAAGGATGACTGGAACTGCGAAATTTTGAGAAAAAAATTATAAATCGCTTTTATGTAAACTGCTGAACTTAGTGAGCGAGTTACCTTGTTGTTAGAACACTTAGAACTGCCAGTTGTCTCATTTCTTTGTGGTTTTAAGATAAATGTAGCTTCAATCTCCTTATTCACGGTGCTTCAAAGCGAATCGCAATCAAATAAATACTGCCTGCGATATGGCACGAGCGTGCCTAAGGGTGGAGAGCACCAACCGGGAGAATTCAAAACTAAATCAGTTTGTTGCTGAAAATATACGAAATTCGCCGTTAAATTGGTTCCGTATACGAATGTAGTAGATATGTCAGTCTAGCATAGAGAATAGTATCTCATGTTTCGAATACATAACTCGTGAGGTAGCCAATTTCATATATTTATAGCAATATACTATCTTAATTTTGAAATATCTTCGTTGATGCTCACAGCCCTGTGTCGCAAAACAAAAATTGCAGAAACCTTCACGTGAATTTGCCGCAACAATTCAACGAGCCACACGAAACTCTACATAACTTCTAAGCGAACATTATGGTCCAAACGAAGTATCTGACGCCTGAGCCCCCAATATACCTGTAGCTGAAAATACAAAAATTCACTTTCTCTCCGCCATATTTAATTTGAGCAGCGTCACCTCTAGGATGTGCCCCTCGATAAGATTGAGTCCAATCTGCCAACCGAAAACTCCGTTCATGCATCGATGCTACAAAATTCCTTTTCCCCGTATTGCACTTATTGGTACAAGAGCAACCACTGACATCTATTACGTTTTTGTTCGTCTTCTTCTTTTGTGTCGGACGAAGGTAGCTTCGGCGATGTGGAGCTGCCGGTGCCATGTCGCTACAGCCTCGAACATTCTTATATACGGACGCAAAAATGGATAACCTCTACCTTTTTCTTTCTCCCCGATCCGAGAGTTAAAAATGCCAGAGTTTAACCGCTCCGCTCTGATAGTATACCAGAAAAATAGCATAGCGTTGATCGGTGCCTATTCGGTATTTCAGAAATGGAATTCGTGTTTTATTTTCAAGGTTCTTTTTGAAAGACGAGCAGGAATATCCATGGAAGTGGTAATAAAACGTACAAAAATTGAATTTTTATAACTTATGCCGATCACTGAATATCACCATAGCAAGAAATCCATAGGTATGAGACCTTACACGATTCCCAAAGCCAATTAACCAAAGTGTTTGAATGGCATTACTTGCCACCAAAACTCCATAATTTTGGATAGATTTAACTCCCAATGCCTACCAAATTTTTAAACCATTGCACTGTGGTCTGGAAGACCGAAAAGCCATCAAAAACACAATATCTACGACACTTATAAGGGTTTTCAGTACAGTTCTTTGAATTGCCGATTTCAAGTCTGGGACTAGTTTGTTTCTACGGCGGGATGTGAAAGACACTTTTAAAAGAAGCCGAACAGTTGACACCAACACCATTTCGTTTAGGCTTTTCCGGTTGATAAGTTCGAAACAGATAGCATCTTGAAGTCATTTCAACGACTTATTAAAAATAAGTCTAGCATTTGAGTACAGAGTTAAAGTTTTGATTGGCCCATTTCAGCATTCATAAAAAAAATGTTACCAACATTTTACATTTTTCGACGTTTTTTTAAGGTATGCAATTTTATTAACAAGCCTTAGATTGGGGCTGAACACTGAAAGAAAAAGAAGTGGATTGAAATAAATGAAAATTACCTCACAACTGTCCAGGTAAAACCCAAGTACATGTCCTATCGCATCGCTGATGACTGTAACTCAAATTATGGTATCACCCTCGTATATTTAGTAAACATATTATTCCTGTATATTCCCGGTACTTACTTTTCTTATGAATTCTTGTTAATTATGACGTCAATGATATCTGTGTATATTTACTGATATTGATGCGTAAATGTTCTTGTGTACTTTCCCATCATAACAAATTCCTTCAAGATGCCCATTTATTATAAATACGCATATTGTTAGAGACAAAACTACTCTATACTTTTTTTTTATACTCCAACTATCACGAAGGCCTAAGGCCTAAACACCCATTGGGTACCGTGGGACTATAGGGGGATACAGGGGAAAGGGGGAACGCCACACCGACTCTGGCGAGGGAACACGTGTGCATGCAACATGCACACATTCTGGCTCCGCCTACGAGATCCGCCGGGTGGTACCTCCACGTTCGACAGTCAGAGACCGTCTACCACCTACGGACAATCACAACATCCATAGCCAAGAGAAAAATTTCTCCTGGGACGGGACTCGAACCCGCACAGCGCACGGCGACTGATCAGGAGACCGAAGAGTCTACTACTGCGGCCACCGCTGCTGCCTTGCTGTATAACCTTCAACATCTCATTGAATAATATTTGGAAGTGGTTCGTCGCCTATTTTATTTAATTAGCGCTGTGAACAGGATAGCTTTCCCGTTGAAGATCGGTTTGCTGTTTTCTCAAGTTTCGAATCTGGTCTAGTCGGGTAGGTACGAAGTACTACTCAGTCGACTATCTGAATATCCAGAAGCTGTAGGCCGAGGTAAGTGAATACTCCAATTATTGTTTGAGCTATTTGGGTGACCCAAGGTTCTTTAGTTTGAGAAGTGCTGCCATTTCAACGAGCAGAAAGATTTTAATTATACCGAAGGAGTTATCCGACGAACCTGACGAGTTTTGAAGTGCCTAGCCGCGAAAACGCTCGAAAGTACAAGGCTAGAGGAACCAGTGAACACTCCATCTCCGAGAATTCATCCGGCCTCTGCCTATTACAAGAGCAAGACGACGTCCAATGCAAGTATAGCGTTACTGCAGCAGATTTTCTGTTGAGTCCACTGAATTGACCATCACCGGTATCCCAGCAGGACCCATGCAGAAATTGTTGCTACTAGCGAAAGTCAATTTTTAATAACAAACTTTTATTCTGTATTCTTGATACTAATTTTAATGCCTTTACACAATCGTTTTACTATAAGAAGGGAACCACAGGTAAATTCCCCAATTTCAAACTCCAATTCAGTTACAGGAATTCGAGACAGATCGCCTATTTCATCAGGATCTGGAATGGCTTTAAATTTGAACGATTATCGTTTTAAATTCGATTTATTAAAAAATAGATTTTCAAGTTTTTCACATCAAACTAACAGCCTATCTGAATATATTCAAAATTGCCAACGATTTTTGATCGTATTTGATCGATCCCCTTTCCAACGAGAGGCTTTGATCTACGTTGTCTCACTACTAGAAAGTAGAGCAAAAGAATTGGTTTTACAGGCTAACCCTAATACTTGAGATGTAGTCAAAAACACTTTCATTCATAATTATAGCGAACGTAGAAGTGATATTATTTTGATCAACGAATTGCTAAAACAAACTTCTTATTAAGTATATTACCTGTATAATGACATTTTGAGAAAATTACATGTTCTACGAAAACATGCCAAATTAGAATATCCTGATGTCATCGTGCAAAACTCTAAACTAGGTTTTTATAAAAAAATGGCTTCGGTTTCATTTCTTACTGGCATACGCGAACATTATCGTGGCCCAATAGAAGGCATTGCCTGTACATGGACCAATAGTTAGTCACAGTAGATTATGTATTTACTTGATGCTAGTATTATACTTTTTAAATTTTTTTTGAAACAATTTCCGAAATATCAATATTTTAAATCTCTTGGTATAATTATAAAATTGACCGCTACATATAGATTTATGCGGCTGAGGAACTACTGTGCCAAGAATTTTGCACCTTGTGTAATGATTGTGTTTAATTTTTTAGTCGGTGTTGACAAATTTATGTCTTATTATTACTCGATAATTTATACAATTGTTATCGTTTTACTTCCTATGTTTACCATGTTCTATGTAAAATATCCATATGTTTCAGATACGGAAATGAATGTAAACCATAAATCCTCAATTCCACTTCAGAATATTGAACAATGATTGTATATCTTCACCTTTACAAAGTTGGAGACCAACTTTTTCATGGAAGGGAGGAATTATGGTATCATACTCGTATATATTCAGTAAACATATTATTCTTGTATATTCTCGGTAATTTCTTTTCTAATGACTTCTTGTTGATTATGATATCAATGATATCTGTGTATACTTTCTGATAATGATGAGTAAGTGTTCTTATGTACTTTCTCACCATAACAAATTTCTTCAAGATACCGACTTATTATAAATAGGCATATTGTTAGAGATAAGATTACTCTGTACAACTGTACAACCTTCAACATCTCAATAAATCATTTTGGATGGATAAACAAATCTGCCTTTATTCACCGTTATCGGCAACTGTACATGGTGAGTTTGCCCATAAAGTTATTGGAAAGTGGTCGTTCACGTTCCGCCTTTTTTGAGTCAGCCAACGATGGTGCATGTATGCCCGAAAACAGAAATGACTTGATGAACCTCTCTGATACAGTTTACTTTTTTTTTATTTTATTCTACTTTAAAATTCAAATTCCTCATTCTCAAAATAACAGCTTGAATTCACATATAAACGTCACGAAACAGGCCACCAAAACGTTCTGTTCTTGTTCAAATACGTCATCACCCAGCAGAAGTCTTGTTGATGAAACATCAAAACGGGCAGTCTGAAGATAAGGGCGATTAAGGTAAACAGCTTAATCTAGTTGGTGAGTTTAGAATGTTTGCAGAAGGCGCCGCAACGCCGGCTTACGTTCCGCATCCCGCTTGCCCCTCCAAAGTCTAGCCCGATGACGGCACAGAAGTCGCTTTATCTCTGTGGTCGATCCAGACGTCCTCTTTCAGACAGTGCCGTGGAGAGAAGCATTTGATCTAAAGCGCTGAATATTATTTCCTTCACTTAAGTCCTCTTCAGACTTGATAGTATTGACAGTTGGGAATGACGGCATTAGTTGCCAAATATCTCCTCAAGGAAGAAGGTAGCTTTTTTCCAAACTGAGGTATCCCTTTGTCACATTAATAAACACTCCTTTATAAGCCTTTTGAGGAATCATCTCACCGTGGATTTTGAACAAACAAAAATACTTATTTGAACATTCAAGTTTCACAGTAGGCTGTAACAGTTGTCATCATTGAAGTTTTGGACGGTTTGGTTTTTTGTGCTAAATTTTAGTGTGTAATACAACATAGTAATAGAAATTGTATACCTTTTCGATTTTAAAGCGAATAACAAACCCATGAAGTGGAGCTGAATGAATAGAGACAACCACCTTTATAATAATCTCCAATTGACAGCTTGAGCATATTGGTTCAGTTGACAACTATTTTACTCACAATCTGCAAATTAATTGAGACTTTCAGGAAAAAATATGTCCATGACGAGGACGCAGTCAACTCCCAAAAACGAAGATATGTTTAATTATATCCCTGATATAGTTTTGGGTTTTAAAAGAATAACTATGTGTGTGGGCATCTTAAATAAAGTTGTTTTTCATATTTTGAAAAATAAATTAGGGTCTAGAAAGCCAACGTGGGTGCTGCATTCGCAAATTTTAGATCAAAAACGAATTCATGTAAAACTTTCCCTGACAACAACTGGATCAAATTGCAACGGATAGAATTGAATATATACCAGTTATTCTGCTTCGGAGCAAGCAAAGTTGTCAAAACCACTTGAAAAGATTGATGAAACTGATGGGATGCAAAAGCGGAAGGGCATCTTCAGGCTGGTAAAATTATAACATATTATTAAATATTATTGTAGTGTTCTCGTTAAGCTGGATTCAAACATTCTTGAGAAAAGATCTGGTATAAACCAAATAGGAAATCGCTGGAAGAAGTGTGAATCAATGGAGATTAGATTGAATAATAAACCTGTTTTCAGAGATCAAGTAGTTCTTTTTTCATCTAGAGACCAAAAACTTTTCAAATATGCTAGAGGATTTCCATTCCAAATTTCTAGATTTTATAAAATATCGGATCAACAGGAAGATCATGCAGACAGCAGTAATGTAATCCTCAGTAGCAGCAGAGTCCATTCTTTGTAACAAGTACAAATACTTGACAACACATATATCGACGTAAGAAGCTATGTAAAAAGGTCGTTATCAAATAGGTCTTCTTAGGTGTTAGTGAAACGGGTCACCAGACAGCTCCAATGACAGCAATCAGACTAATCTAAGGCACCCAAATTCATTCTGCATCAAAGTTTGATTGCCCGGTATACACATTTTAGAAGGGTTGAGTTCACGTCCTTGTCCCCTTGGATCCGCCAGTGCAGCAACACAACATTCGCCGGTCACCCATAATTTCGTTACCATCGTACATGGAAGCAGGATAATTTAATCCGAATTTACTAACTTAAATTGGATTCCCAGTAAAATGAGAACGTTTGGTCCCTGTCCCGTGTGACTGATATAGTTTCCTAGAGGAAAGGGGAGGTGGTAGAGGGTAAGGAAGGGTTGTGAGCTTTGATTTGCTCGTTCTTGCACAACATTTTGGGGTTTGATGGAGCCCGGGCTCGGTATTGGGTAAAGTTGCTCCCCTGATGCTTCACAACGTAATTTATCAGTCATTAAACGGGACATGTTTGAGAGAGGTGGCGATAGGAAGGAGCTTGTTATATCGTTAACGTAACTATCATGATTTGCAGTTTGGTCTTATAATTGATGGTCTAGAGTAGAACCTTGAACAAAATTAGATGATGGGCTGCTGAATGCTTTGAATGCACATTTATCTATCATTGCCCATCGGAACCATCCGAAGAACCTTTGGAACTCTCGGTAATAGTTATGTCAGTCAGTCTTTCAGTATTGATTTCCAAACTGTAAATTCGAAAGTAGCTTCATATATACATTTGTCATCAAAATAATATTACTATCATCCTTTCTGTCATTATTTATAATAATGCAGTTTTAAAGAAATGTTGAGTGGAAGTTAAGGCGCAGGGTGACGCTGCAATAGCGAAGTCGCATTAAAGGTGGTTTAGGTTAATATAACATCTGAAAGTTATCCTGTGATTTTCATGGTGATATATCTACATGTTTTTCTGGCCAAATGAAACCAAATTCAGAAATCACTCTACTGACATTTTGGCCACTATGGTGGCCTTCTTCAAAGTACAACATATTTCATATTTGCGAGGGTTGCCTCAAAAATAAGGCTCCCACATTTTTTTCAGGCACAAGGAATTTTTTATTTGAAAAACGAATATACTATTGAAAACATTGATCTTTAAGCTATTTTTCTACATAGTTAGTTGCCATTCTTTCGAAGCATTTTTTAGACTTTTCCACTCCCGCCTCAAGGAGATCCGCTTGGAAACTTGGTAACTACTCCTTCCAACTCCTCGTCCGTCTCGAACCATTAACCGCCTAGGTGCTCCTTCAATTTCGGAAACGCTATTTCAGCGCTTTAAGGGGCATGGGCAATGACTTCCCAGCCAAGTTGCTCGATTCAGAGACGAGGATGCGCATTGTTGTGGAAGTCTTACGCTTTAGAGTGTTTTCCCCTATGACGATTTTGGATTGCCCGTCTCACCTTTTTCAAAAGCCTCGGGAATTTAAACCGCCTATTCCCGGATCGTGATTTGCCGACCTTCGAGCCAGATTTGCTCAATCTTCGCCATAACTTCCTCGACGGCCACCCGCTTCGATGTTCATCGTGGATGTCCA